ACGATGTGAACACCTTATGTTGACCCCACCCAAACAAAAGTGTAGGTACCATTTGACGCACCTGAGCATGACAAACATGATGGTACTAAAATCGCGACGCTGCGCCGTTTTTTTTTTTTTTTGGCAGTTATTGCTCAAAACCCGAAATCGTATTTTGGCCCTCGGGGCACTTGACCTGACCCTCAGAGGCCACCAGTTGACCTGAGGCTTTTAAACCGTGCATCAATCGCTGCGTCCCTGGTCCCGTAACGGCACACATGCTCGTTTTTCCCGCGAGGCTAGCTCAATTCAAATTAGGGCGAGGGAGTCGTACCCGCCCTCTCTCGCGGCGTAGGTATGTAAAAAACTAATAAGTCTGGTGATGGTTGATGCAAGATTCTTACAGATAATGGTTGATGACGGTAGGGTATAAGTTATTAAAGATAAGTGAAACAAAGTTGCAGCCCTCAGTAGCCTTGATTTATGTTATGTGAGTTATAAAACAACTGTAAGCTGCAGGCTCAGCTCTTCAGTTTCTATCTATGCCTGCAAACACAATAAAATCAATGGAAGAGTACCTAATAATAGTTTTATTGTATTTTATTGATGCTTTTCTAGTTTCAATGGTAACTATGTCACAGATGATTCAATGTCATTTGCATGGTATCATTTACCACCACACGTCTAAATATTAAGTATATAAAATAATGCAGTAAAATAAGCTGCGCCACATCTGTCGACAAAATCTGGTGCCAACTCAAGGTCAAACGGAAAATGTGGTCACGTGACCAATGTCCGGCAGCTGAGAAGTACTGGATTGGAAACAGGATTCCGGTGGTTGCAGTAAGAGGCCGAAAACAGAACCGAATATTTCGTGCCCATATTTCGATATCTCCTCTCACAGGCAACAAAAAAAATATTGGTTTATGTGAATGAAACTTATAAAGAAGCAATCGACTAGCCGTGCTCGTGTTTATTGCTGCATTTTTGCATAATGGCAACTTATTTACTAAACGTTGCTGGTTACACTTTCCTCACCGTTGTGAGGGAACGTATGCCACTGATTTGATTATAATGATTTCTCACTCTCATCCACAAAGAGTACTTGTACATACATGGGAGTTTGATCTCTTTATTTACATGCTAATCGATACCAGTCCTGTCACAACGAACCATCCAAACTTCACGATTCAAACCAACGTCACAAAACACCCCTTCAAGTGTCACTTTGCTTCGCCTGCCCTCCCAATTTCATCAGCGACCTTACTTCCCCGCCTTACATCTTCTTGACCCTGCTGAGCTTTGGCCTCTTGTCGCTCCTCGATCGGGTTGCACCAGTGGCTGGGGTGTCTGCTTCCTGACTTTCGATGGACAGCACTGTCTTGAGTGTCTGTCTCACTTATCAGTTACCATGTTTCCACACTTTCCAGCAAATAGATTGAAAACCGTCGCATACATCTCTGGAAGGAGGCTCCTAAGGACGTCGTGGCTGGCTATCATTGCAAACGACTTCCGGTCACTTCGACATCTCGGTTTACGACTATCTTCGTCACTTCTGCGTCACTTCTTGGTTGATCGCAGACCAGCAGCTGGTTCCTGTTAGCTTCCGTCTTCGGCAGTTGCCTCCAAATCTGGCAGATCCTCACGGTGAGGTCGATGTCTTCCTCGTCTTTCTCCAGTCGTGCCTCCAGCGGCGTAGCCCCATGATAGATCAGCAGGCTGGCGGAGGCAGGGCGGAGGCACCGTACTTGTTACGCCTGGTGGCCGAGCGCAGAGCCGAGCGTGCCAAGGCGCCGGAGCTGTGTCCCAGGGAGGCCTTGGCGCTGTCATCCAGGTCCTCCATTTCAGTGGATGTCGCCACCGCGGCCACTAGCTCCTGGATGACAAGAGCACCATCCTGCTGTCACTTCTGCTGTGATGGTGCCATTCGGGCGGAGGCGTCGGCGGGGCTGAAACGTGACCAGTGACCCGGAGTACCGCCTCATTCTCCAGGAACTGTCGGACACTCAACCAGTTGTAGTTGCCACCTGATAGCTGATATTGTCATTCGTGAAGAACGCATCGGTCTGGCCCTTCATAACCTGCTTCTGGTGTGAGTGGCGTGCGGATGCCATGGCTAGTTTCGCTGGCCGCTCGTGCACAGGGGCCAGGGGGCATCGCGTAATCCACGCTGGTCAATACTGACAGGGCTGCGCCGCTCTCGAGCCGACGGCGCTGTCTGTGCATGCCGGTGCGAAATGACCGATCTTCTTCGAAATATTCCTTTCTGAAATGCAGCTCACACACAGCGGAATAGTCCTGATCCCACTAAGCCCGGTCACGGTGACCCATGGCGCCAACCCACTGAGCGCGTAGAGATGTTCGGTGAGAAAAGCGAATAGGTGGCATGTGAGACATCTCCTGTTCTAATCTTTTGTTCCTCTTGGTTCGTTGGGTTGTAGCCAGAACGGCAGGTTTTTACCGCTCATTCCCCTCCTCCATTGTTGATGTACCTATACGTATGTAAGGCTTTGCACCACAATTTCTTTCAAAAGAAAACACCACGCATTGTGCCCTCTAAATGATCAAATTAAAAGTGAAATACTTTAATTTTTTAAGCAAATGAAAGTAACTTCGGTAGCTTCGATTTTAAATGTAAACGACAAAACACAAAAAAGACGATTTCTTGCAATACACAACACACAAATTATCCACCCAGCAGCACGCGAGAATCTCATTTTGGCGCCGCCGCATAAAAGCATTCGGCCTCTTACTGCAACTGCCAATATTCTGTTTCCAATCCAGTACTACTGTTATCTGTGGTCACATACATACATACGGACGTTTTGATTTTTATATATGTAACTAGAGGGACAGCATTACGCGCAGCGTAAAAAGGGGCAGCATTACGCGCAGCGTAATAAATCAATTTTCATTAAAATCGGCCCAGTAGCGGCCGAGTTATGGCCAGAATAAATGTTGCGTCTCCTCTTGGCCGGCGGTGCTCTGTTCCGGTATTCATTGCCAAAGGTCAGTGACCTTCCGGCTCTGATTTCGCTCAGTTTTGCAAGCGAAGAAACTGAGCCTAAGGCACGTGCTCATTGCTCGGCGCCGGCCGCGGCCAAAATTCCGCAAAGATGCGCCCGCCACGTGCACACCGCTGCACGCACCCCCTCGAAAAGTTGATACGACAAACAGATGCACGCGTTTGACTTGCGCCCAAAATTTCACCCCCGTAGCCCGCACCGTTCCGGAGCAATAGCCCGCCAAGCGTGACTGACGCGTTACATACATACGGACATTTTGATTTTTATTACATACTAGAGGGACAGCATTACGCGCAGCGTAAAGAGGGACAGCATTACGCGCAGCGTAATAAATCAAGTTTCAATAAAATCGGCCCAGTAGCGGCCGAGTAATGGCCAGAATAAAGTTGGCGTCTCCTCCTGGCCGGCGGTGCTCTGTTCCGGTATTCATTGCCAAAGGTCAGTGACCTTCCGGCTCTGATTTCACCCAGTTTTGCAGCGAAGAAACTGAGCCTAAGGCGCGTGCTCTCTGCTCGGCGCCGGCCGCGGCCCAAAATCCCGCAAAGATGCGCCCGCCACGTGCAAACCGCCGAGCGCACCCCCACCAAAATTTAATACGACAAACAGATGCACGCGTCCGACTTGCGTCGAAAATTTCACCCCCGTAGCCCGCACCGTTCCGGAGCAATAGCCCTTAAAGCGTGACTGACGCGTTACATACATACATACATACATACATACATACGTACAGACGTTTTGATTTTTATATATGTAAATATAAAAATCAAAACGTCCGTATGTATGTATGTATGTATGTATGTATGTATGTGACGCGTCAGTCACGCTTGGCGGGCTATTGCTCCGGAACGGTGCGAGCTACGGGGGTGAAATTTTCGACGCAAGTCGGACGCGTGCATCTGTTTGCTGTATTAAATTTTGGAGGGGGTGCGCTCGCCGGTTTGCACGTGGCGGGCGCATCTCTGCGGCATTTTGGGCCGCGGCCGGCGCCGAGCAGAGAGCACGTGCTCTAGGCTCAGATTGTTCGCTGCGAAAACTGAGCGAAATCAGAGCCGGAAGGTCACTGACCTTTGGCAATGAATACCGGAACAGGGCACCGCCCGCCAAGAGGAGTCGCCAAATTTATTCTGGCCATAACTCGGCCGCTACTGGGCCGATTTTAATGAAAATTGATTCATTACGCTGCGCGTAATGCTGGACACCTAGTTTACATATATAAAAATCAAAATGTCCGTATGTATGTATGTATGTATGTATGTATGTGACGCGTCAGTCACGCTTGGCGGGCTATTGCTCTGGAACGGTGCGGGCTACGGGGGTGAAATTTTCGACGTAAGTCGGACGCGTGCATCTGTTTGTTGTATTAAATTTTGGAGGGGGTGCGTGCAGCGGTGTGCACGTGGCGGGCGCATCTTTGCAGCATTTTGGGCCGCGGCCGGCGCCGATCAGAGAGCACGCGCCATAGGCTCAGTTTCTTCGCTTGCAAAACTGAGCGAAATCAGAGCCGGCAGGTCATTGACCTTTGCCAATGAATACCGGAACAGAGCACCGCCGGCCAGGAGGAGACGCCAAATTTATTCTGGCCATAACTCGGCCGCTACTGGGCCGATTTTATTGAAACTTGATTTATTACGCTGCGCGTAATGCTGGACACCTAGTATATGTAAATATGTAATTCAGGCGGTTTAGTAAATGCCGCAACTGCCCCACTATTGTACAGTGGATTTAGTAAGGATCTCCAGACGTAACTACATGGCGTTGAACCTTAGTCCAGTCCATGTCAAATTCACAATTCCTATTCAGTTTGTGATGCGAATTACCGGCCGTCGAGGGGTTAGCCAAACTAGATCCGTTTGACGTCGCTAACACGAATTTGTCTCATGTAGCCAGTGCCATAAAGACTTTTTGGGGAGCAGTATTAGCGTAATGGGTTTTTGGAACGGATCGCTCATGTAGCCCGGGTAACTGTCCGACAAGACGGCCGGGCCGGGCACATACCTTCTCTGACATCACCCGACTGGAGCGAGGGTTGACGGCTCCCTTGATGACGTCCTTTTCAAACATGGCCGTTATGCTCTGGATCTCCTTCAGCCGGATATCTGCTGCCTCCAGAACAGCTCTGCCGACACACAGCGGCTGGTTACGGCCCCCAGTCAATGATATTGGTAGCTTCAGCTCTGGTCAGTCAGAGCGTGAAGGTTTTTATTGTCCCTTCACTAGTGCTAAACCTATGGGAGAAACCGATTTCGAGGGCAAAACTAAAAGTCGATTTTTTAACTTATTAGTCGATATACGTAAAAACCGAATGTACCACACGACAGCCTTATCTTTCTTCTATCGATGCCCGCATCCATTTTGGCGATGGTACAGTCACCAGCACTTGCTACTAATCACCTCGTTTTTGTTCAGCAGTTTGAAGACCGATCAATTCTCAGTCGCGCAAGATACGTCAAACGATCCGTTTGGTCCTCCGATTTTCGAATATCTTACTTGTTTTTGTATATTCGAAGCATTTTGGGATGGGGAGCCAAAAAAACCTCTTTTCTGCCCTGAAGTGTGCCCCAAGAAGTCGTAGAACCTAGCCCCGCCTCTGATCCACAGACCACTAGTGCCATCTCTTGTCAGCCGAACAAGCCGCAGAAGTAAATAATGTCACGTGACCTTTGCACACGCTACAATTACTACGCGGCTGTAGTGGTGGAAGCGGGGCGGAGGCGTGGAGAGGAACGCGATCGGTCGGCTGGGTTCAGGTCGCCGGGGTCAGAGGTCATCTGCCGGAGGGTGTTTGAGCGGTTGGGCCGTGTGGGCTGGCCTGCGGAGTGGGGAGCGCCGGGACCTGTCTGGAAACCAGCCCTACAACGCTGTGACAGTCGAGAATATTGTGAGGAAAGAGAGAGAGAGAGAGAGAGAGAGAGAGAGAGAGGGAGATGGACAGGGTGAGAGAGAGACAGGAAGAGAAAGAGAAAGAGAGAGAGAGAGAAAGAGAGAGAGGAGAGAGAGAGAAAGAGAGAGGGAGAGAGACAAAGAGAGAGGGAGAGAGACAAAGAGAGAGAGAGAGAGGGAGAGAGAGAGGAGAGAGAGAGCAAGAGAGAGAGAGAGAGAGAGAGAGAGAGAGGAGAGAGAGAGAGAGGAGAGAGAGAGAGAGAGAGAGAGAGAGAGAGAGAGAGAGAGAGAGAGAGAGAGAGAGAGAGAGAGAGAGAGAGAGAGAGAGAGAGAGAGAGAGAGGAGACGAGAGAGAGAGGAGAGAGAGAGAGAGAGAGAGAGAGAGAGAGAGAGAGCTAAGAAAGACTGGAGGGAAGGGGTAACGACGGGGGAGGAGAGAAAAGAGAGAAAACTGAAAAGGAAAGCCAGAGAGGGTAAAATGAGAAAGAAGGCAATGGGTAAATCAGTGAGAGGGAGCGAGAGAGGAAATATCTAGTTGTGTCAGCTTGTTTCACATGTAAAATGTAAATTTGCTTTCCATCATTACAGCTTGGGATTGGAAATTAAATCTTACCATCCTTATGATAAACCCACGTTGACGGGATGCAGTAGCGGCGGAACACCTACAATTAAGGGGATGGGGCACTGCCGACTTTTGGTCCTATTATTTCCATGCAACGCTCATAGGGCTAATGTTGAAATGCCAAAATCAAAGGGGGTCACGGTGCCCCGGTGCCCTCCCCGTTCCGCCGCCTATGACGGGATGGGGACGCTTTTATGGTCGTCGTTGGGAGCTCGGGACTAATGGGGTCTGGGGATGATGTTGAAGGTTTCTCAAATGTTTCATAAAAGAGATGCTATTTTTTGCACAACCTATTTAACATTTTTTTTACGTTTGCTATGAAAATGTTAGGCCCAGTTCCTTCAAGATCAGGTCCACGACTCCACAGCTTACAACAGGAGCTAGCTAACATAACAATTAACCCGCGCCGTGTTGGTGGCATGAACTTTCCATCGAGTGCTGGGGGGGGGGGGGGCGTTTCACGCCCCTCCGTCTAACTCGGGTCCTGGGCCACGTAACGACACGCGGTAAGCGGCAATCGAAAGAGCGTCAAAAATAAGGAGGAAAACACTCGGTCATTTTAAGGTCAGGGCAAAGGTCAGGTCACCAGGATTCAGCAAAGGTCAAATTTTGTTGATTTCAACGATTTCGAACAACCGACGGCTAACTCGGGAACCAATAGAGCTACAGCGCCGCGGAAAAAGCGCATTCGATAGCTCTTTTAACGCTCTTTCGCCAACATGTCCTCAAATTTGACCTCAGATCAACGGTTTAGCCCCCAGAGGGCATCGCTCTGATTGACCTCAAATTTGACCTCAAATCAACGGTGTTTTCACCGCTCTAGCACGTCTCTGTCAAAAGTCAAAGAACTGCTGAAGACCTTTTATGTCCTAAAATGACCTCAGGGGCACACACAGGGGTCACAGGTGCAATTTTCCGATTCAGTGTGTCATGTTTACCTATGGACCGATGTTTGAGAGGGTGTAGAACGAAATTCGTCCAAAAAAGGCGCATTTCAATTTTCTCCTATTGACTTATACCTAATGTAGCAGTCGCAAAATTGACCTGACCTTAGGTCACAGACATAAAAATCCGAGGTATCCATCTTATATACATACTGTTACCAAAAGGATTTACTGAAAGTTTTAAAGTGATCGCTCAGTCGGTGTAGCTACGGCGGGCGAGCTTTCGATTTTTTTCTGAGGTAAGGTCACTTGACGTTACCTGGTGACCTGACCTTGAATGACGCTACGCGTCGCGTCGCCGTTTTTGAGATATTCGCGAAAAACTTGAGGGGAAGGGCGTAAAACGCCCCCCCCCCCCCAGCACGGCGCGGGTGGTCGACATAGTGACTCGGACTGAACAAATGCCTTTAAAGGTAGTGTGCCAGCTTTCTTGGACCGTATGGAGTTAATGGCCCAGATAAGGAGAACCGGATTTTTAGAACTTATCCATACCTTCAAAACTCATGGAAACGTCTTAAATTCTTCAAATTTTGAGTACCCCAGTGCGAAATTCGCCCCGACGGGTTGTCGGTCGTACCCCAACCACATTTCACACCACTATGAACAATAAATGCACACACTGAAATCGCTATTACCGATATGCTCATCCAATCAAGTTTCGATAAACCCGTTCATCATCATCTCCTGCGGTTTCGAACACGCCTGTTAGGTGGCTTCTGATGCTCGTCGAGGTCGGAATTTCCAAATACGCGTGGTGCGTCGGGCCGCGCGCTCTGACTTCGGCCAAGAAAAATGCGTCAGCTGATCATTGTCATTTCTGCCACTTGCGTGTGGTGAAATGGGGTCGTAACTTATAAGACGGCTTTTTCATATCAATTATTTTACATAAAATCATATTTCAAACCATAAATAATGTTCGACAGCCAAATAAAAGAAACAATACCAATACGGGCTTACAGTTTAAGGCTCGACATTGTGTTGTCTACGATTAGACAGCTGATAACTCATTCCCGTACGTCGTATGGTCGTAACACTATAATGACCTTTGCTTATTGTCACAAGTGCGCCGCATTCGCGATTGTTGCCCGACGCCTGTTTGCAGGTGAGCTGCACTACAGTTGTTATACATATCTAAAAACCGAAAAACTTTTAGGCGAAAAAGGCACTATTCCAGGCCCATTTTTGATTTTTTTTTGCGATATTAGGTAAAAACAGAAGCTTCTTATCCTAGGAAAAATAAAATGGGAAATCTTTCAAAGGTGGCACACTACCTTTAACGTTTCAACGGTTGAACAAGGTGAGAGGATTGAGGTAGGCTTGTATCGGATTTTCTTCTGCTTGTCGGTAGTTTAGGTTGAAGTTAATTTTGCGAGCTGTCCATAATCATTCAAGAGGGTAATTCAGCTGCACATCGTTCGGGTTAAAGAAATACCGAACATTTTCAAATTTTGCAGTAATGAGCCAGTAGTCTACGAATATATTCAAAAAACAATTAGAAAAAGAATAAGCGGACCGGTTTCATCTATCAAAGACTTCTTTAGCGCTTTTTCAAAAACGTATAAGAAGAAAACTAGCACAGTGACAATCGTTTGAAATAAAATTGGATTCAGTAAGAACTAAGAACTTCATTGTCCGAAAACCGCTGATAGTTGATAGCTCAATGACACTTAGAGGCTAGAGCCGTGCATAAGAAGGCGTGAAAACACTCTCCTCATCTCGTTCTATTAGAGAGGACCATGTCATGGCGTGAGAAAGGTGTTCTCAAAATAAATGACACTGTATGAGTGAATAAATATTCCACGCCCCCTTGGGCTATTGACGGACCCTACTACCTGATCGGGTGGTGCAGCCGTTTCGCCCTCCACCTGAGATCTCGGAAAGTTACCGACCGATTTTAAACATTCAAAGAGCGTTCGATAGCCCCACCAGGGACCTACCTTGTTACCAGGTTTCGTTGACCTAGGTGCAACCCATGACGTCACAAGTCAGGTCAAAGGTCGCATTTTTTCACCGATTTAGTCTAAGGAATGCGTTACAGTCAGTTAACCCGCGCCCCGCTGGGCTATTCAGCCATACGCGCCCTGCTGGGGGGGGGGGGGGCAGATTCTGCCCCCCCTGTCTAACTTCCGAACCGATGGTCGTAGAAAGACGGGGAAAACGGCAATCGAAAGCTCTCAACAAGGCGGATCTTAAGAGCCCAAATTTTTTTGCTTAAGTAGGTCAGAGGTCAGGTCAAGGTCAGGTCAAGGGTACAAAATGCAAGTTTCTACAGTATCGGCCTTGCACCGTAGTTGCCGAAGAATGGACTGAGACTGATTGCCCAAAACGTGTTCTTAGACTACCAAGACAATATTCGTTGCATACACTGTCATTCAAAGGTCAAGGTCAAGGTCAGGTCAGGTCAGGTCAGGTCACCAAAAACAAAATATAGAAAAGGGCATGTGCGACACATGTTTAATGGGTCATTTTACTCATAGAATTCAATAGGCACACTCAATAAGTGATATGGACCACCTCTGGATAAATTTCAGATCGAGGTCAGTTCAAGGTCAGGTCAAGTGAGGTCAAATTTTGAAGTTGGTTGTTAAGGTCTAAAAAGGTGTCTATCTGATGCAGATTTTCACGGCGAATCGAATGGTGCTACTTTTGTTCCCGTACGAGGTCTCGAAA